GGAAAGAGACTGAAGATGTAACCCTATTAAAGTATCAGTGTTCTGTATGACAACCTCTCTGTGATGCTTATCTTAATGTCACCATAGACATATGCGGTCAGATAGTTGGAAACTGTGATCCTTATTTACATTAGTATGCATGGTTGACAGAGGGGGAACTCTCTGTGCCCACTTTAACTGTATTAACTACAATGTAACATTATTAGGGTGCAAGAGAAAAATCAGGCAAAAGTTCTGAGTAGTCAGCACTCACTAATACTTGTGCGGAGGTCTAAGATGGAGGGATGATCAGCTCATGAGTGAAAGGCAAAATTTGAGGACCCTCTCTTCAAGGAGTTATCCCAGGGATGGCATTACATTTGATCAAGCCTCACAGGGAAGAGTATTCATGATATGCAGATCTCTGCAATGGTTCCTATTGAGGCCAGTTACCTATTTTTGGAGTATATATAGAGGGCCACAATGAGACCTCTACTATTATCCAGTAGATAATAAAAGAGCTAAAATCCCTGAACTTGCTCAAGGCATCAGAGAGCTGGCTTGTATGAGCAACTGGGAGTGGTGCTTCCCAGTTACAGTGAGGAGCAGCAATGGTAGAGCAGCACTCCCTAGTGGTGGTGAAGAGTGGCAACAGCAGTAGTATTAGTAGTGGAGCAGCACGTAGCAGCTGCTGGGGTGGTGGCAGCTCCAGCCCTGGCACTGGAGATGGGTCCGGAGTTGGTGCCACCTTTGTGTGGCTAGTCTGGGGCTAGAGGCACTATCTTCTCTGTGCTCCCTGGCCCTGGCCAGGCCCAGAGTTGCAAGGGAAAGGCAAGCAACAGCTCATGGAGGAGGAGGCTGCAGGGGCAGCCACTGTCCTCCCACCCTCATTTTTGTACTCAAAACCAAGGCAAGAATTTTTCCTCCCATGTTGACTGGGTCAAGAAAATCTTGTCTTTGATTTAAGTAAATAGGATAATGCACAATAATGCAAAGCAATGCATGTACAAAGAACAACAGTGAACAAGGAGCGCAAACAGGAATGTTTGTGCCCCGCTCTGAAGGGGAGCCTTCAAGGTAAGTTCTTTCTTTAAGTAAGAGTAACTAACCTAGATATCTAGGTAAAGTAGCTAAAGCTCAGCAGTTAGATCAATACTTAAGTCCCTTGTTTAATATTTAGGTTCAATTAGGGCAGAATAAGGCTAAACAGAAGGTCAATTACTAAGTTCAAAGTTTTTAGTCTAAAGGAACCCATAAATCAAAACCTTCTTGAGAGAGAAAGGTAAGTATAAAACATGCAGGCAAAAATCCAACAGCAGCAAGGGAGCTACCCAATTGCTTGAACTGAGTGCCGCATGTATGATTACCTGCCCTAGAGGCAGGTTTTGTATGTGTGCACCCTGTGCAAGGAACTCTTGGCTCTGAGAGAACAAGTACATTCTCTCAGGGCCAGGGTAACGGAACTGGAGCAGCCAGGAAGACAAAGAGGTTTATAGATGAGGTTTTGAGGGACATTGTACAGGAGTCTCACCTCCACTGCTGCAGCTCTTGTTCTGTTCAGGAGGCCTTGGGGATAGAGAACATCAAGCTGGGAAGGAGGGAAATGATTCCTTAGACAGGACCCACCTGCCAGCTGATGTTATAATGTCCTCTTGCACCGAGGAAGAGGTGCAAGAGGCCATTAAATTATTAGGCATATAGCTTTGTTTGTGATGTTCAAGAGGACCACAAGGTGACTTGCCTCTGGGGTGCAAAGGTAGCAGACCTCACGAGACGTGTAGAAATCCTGTTAGGGAGGGCTGGGGAGGAGCAGGTGGTCATGGTCTCTGTAAGTACCAACAATGTGGTTAAGGGCAGCAAATAGGTCCTAAAAGCTAAATTTAGGCTACTAGATAGGAAGATGAAGTCCAGGGTCTCCATGATAGCATTCTCTAAAACGCTTCCAGTGCTATGTGCAGGGCCAGCTGGACAGACCGAGTTCCAGTCTCAATGAGTGGCTGAGATGATGGTGTAGGGAGAAAAAGTTTAGGTTTATTAGGAACTCGGGGACCTTTTGGAACAGGGGGAGTCTATGGAGATGGATGGTCTCCACCTGAGCCAAAATGGTACCAAACTGCTGACATGTAATATTTAAAAGGTGGCAGAGCAGCTTTTAAACTAAAATGGGGGAAAGCTAACAAGTGCAGAACAGCACACAGTTCAGACAAACTCACTCTATAGGGGTGAAACCATAAAAAATGGAGTAAGAAATAGGGAAAGGACAAGCATAAGCCTTTAATGATTAAAAAGTCATACAGAAACCAACTAGGCAACAATAAAAAGGATACGTGTTTTTATACTACTGCTACAAGTCTAAGATCAAATGTGGGGGAACGTGAATGCTTAGCAGTAAAGAATAACATCAACATAATAGGTATCTATTATAGGTAGCTATGAAACATGGAGGAATGAGGGATGCTGTAATACCATGTCAAATGATACAGGACTGTACTGTACTGATGGGGTAGTGGTACTCTACATCAAAAGACTCCATCAAATCAAATTGGGTAGATATTTCAGCTGATAAGAGAGGTACCATAGGATCTCTGTGGATAGAAACTCCAGGTTTCATTAGAAAAAGAAATATGCCTGGGGATATACTATTGACCCACAGACAAAGACAGCAGCAGCAAATTAGAAATGCTAAGGGCAACGAGAGAGGCTGCAACAGCAGAGAACATAGTAATAATGGGTGAATTCAACTATCCACAATAGACTGGGTCAATCTAACATCAGGCTATGATGCAGAGATCAAATTTATTGAAATTTTAAAAGATGGCTCTCTAGGGCAGTTATTCCTGGAACCTACAAGAGGAAGGGCCTAGTTCTTGACCAAGTCCTAAGTAGTGTATAGGACAGAGGCAGGCAATTATTTTGGGCAGAGGGCCGCTTATGGAGTTTTGGCAAGTCATTGAGGGCTGCCCTGCCCCTTGATAGGTGGCCCACACTCTGGCCGGCATCTTGGGTCCAGAGTCCCACCCCGTAACCCCAGACCTTTGCCACCAGAAGTCCCCTCCCTTTCACCAGAAGTAGTCCTTTCAGCAAGGGGGTTTGCTATCTTGGAACCATAAAAATACCAAATTATATTCTAAAAATTAAACACGTACTACAACTATTAATTTCATTTCAAAAAATATTTTGTCCTGATTTACATGCATTTGTGTAGTATACATAGAGGTGGTAGTATAATACCTTAAAATGAAGTCTTATTCTTATGTATTGTGGGAATGTGGGGTTGGGGTATGGTGTGGTGGTATGGGTGTGTGTGGATTTTGTAGGGGCCTGTTAGTATGTGGAGGGAGGGTGGCTGGGGAGGGTTGTGGCTTGCATGGAAGGGGAGGGTTTGCCAACAGC